CCACTCCCCTCAGCCTCCCAAAGTGTTGGGATTACAGGCTGAGCCACTGAGCCTGGCCGCCATGAGAGACTTTAAAGACAAGAAAGTCAAAATTAAAAAAATTATTTAAAGGCTAGGTATGGTGACTCACGCCTGTAATCCCAGCACTTTGGGAGGCAGAGTTGAGAGGACTGCCTGAGCTCAGGGGTTCAAGATCAGCCTGAGCAACATGGTGAGACCTCATCTCTACAATAAATCAAAAAATTAGCTGGGTGTGGTGGCACATGCCTATAGTTCCAGCAACTTGGAAGGCTGAGGTGGAAAGACTGCCTGAGTCCAACAGGTTGAGGGTGCAGTGGCAGTGAGTGTGCCACTGCTCTCCAGGATGAGTGACAAAGTGTGACTCCAACTCCAAAAAAAAAGAAAATTACTTAAAAATGATTTTTAAAAGTATGTATTGGCTGGGCTCAGTGGGTCAGCCTATAATCCCGTGCCTTGGGAGGCTGAGGTGAGTGGATTGCCTGAGCCCGCAGGTTCGAGACCCGCCTGGGCAACTTGGCGAGACCTCATCTCTACAATAAATCAAAAATTAGCTGGGTGTAGTAGTGCACCTGTAGTTCCAGCTACTTGGAAGGTTGAGGTGGAAGGACTGCCAGAGCCCAGCAGGTCGAGGCTGCAGTGGCCAGGAGCGGCCACTGCACTCCAGTCTGAGCGACAGAGTGAGACTCCAACTCAAAAAAAAAAAAAAAAAAGCATGAATTTTCCAATCACAATATAAAATAGAAGATTTTTTATAATAATTAGGAGATATGTGCTTCTTTATAAAATAATGCACTATAATCTAATTGGCAACTCTTTAGCAGCAGCAAGTTAAACCTTCACTTACCCTGTATCCTTCCTAATGTAATTATATGGAGAAGTTCTCAAAATAAAACGATTAACATTAGTTTCCAGCATTCTATTCTAGCTATGCTAAAAGGATCACTCTTTCAATTGGAGAAAGTCAAACTATAAAGGTAAATAAACTGTATTTTAAAGCAAAATATTTACTTCACTCACTCTGAGTAAAGAATCTGTTCAGTGTAATTGTGAAAACAAAAGCAGTTTCATGATAGAGTAACTCAGGCTTCTGAGTCACAGAGACCTAGGATGATTTTTCTTGAATAATTTATTTCACTAATAGGAGCATTGGTTCTCTTGGTTATAAATGAGGGTATAGGCCCACAATCCCTTATCTAGAATATGGATCAGGTATGTCTTATTTTGTTTTGGAGACAGGGTTTCACTCTGTTGCCCTGGATGGAGTGCAGTGGCACACTCACGGCTATATATGTCATCCCTTCCAAGAACACTTTCCTCATTCCCTTCTCTTACTCTGTTGTTGCCAACAAAATACTCATCTGTTCACAGGATTTGCTTTCACTATAGGATTAGGAAGAGCAGGGTGCCTTGCTCCTCTTTGTATCCCAAGCCTAACAGTTTACCCAGCACATTGTTGAACTGAAATGAATTAGACACTGAACTAAGTCTGAATTGTACAGCATTTTCAAAAACTGTCAGGCTCAGTTTGAAATGTAACAAAAAACAATCTATAAAATTCCTTTAAGACCAAAGTCAGAGGGCTTTCTTAAATGAAAAAAGAGCCAGGAATTGCAGCCCTACACGAGATCTTGTCATCATTCCCTTTAGTGGAGTCACCTTTATGTTGCTGGCAGTAGAGCACATCACCACTGGCTGTTTCAATGTGTTAAAGAGGACAATTCTCAGAGAACTAGGTATGTTTAATATAATGGACTGAGCACTGGCAAGGTAACTCTTACTTAGTTTTAAAACATATACACGTTTTAAAGACAAAACATTAGAATTAGTAGACATACATCAAAGACGAAGGCAATGAACAAAAGCAAGATTTTAATACCTTTTTATTTCTGAGGTAGGATTTCTTGGCTGAAACCCGTCCACGTCTTGCTTCCAGCTGGCGTGCTTTCTGCTGAAGTTTCTGTAGCTCTTCCCTCTGTAAGTATACAGATGCTGCCATCTCTTCCTTCTCCAGCATGGCCTCCATGCTTTCGTAAGTGTCATAATACACCACTTCATCTCTCTTCTCTGTTACAGAACAGCAATGAGGGGTAGTAGTTAAGAGCATGGGATGTGGAGCCAGACACAACAGGGTTCTAATCTACTTACTGGCTCTGTAAATTTCAGACAAAGCCCTTAGCGCTTGAGTTTCTTTGTAAACTGGTGGTTATTAGAAAATACAGCTTAGCCAGGCTCGGTGGCTCAGCCTGTAATCCCGTGCCTTTGGGAGGCTGAGGTGAGTGGATTGCCTGAGCCTGAGGGTTCGAGACCCACCTGGGCAACTTGGCAAGACCTCATCTCTACAATAAATCAAAAAATAGCTGGGCGTGGTAGCACGCTCCTGTAATTCTGGCTACTCAGAAGGCTGAGGCGGAAGGATCACGGGAGCCCAGTGGGTCGAGGCTGCGGTGGCCGGGAGCGACCACTGCACTCCAGTCTAGGTGACGGAGTGAAACTCTAACTCAAAAAAAAGAAAATACAGCTTAAAGAGTACACGTATGCAAAGTGTCTAGCAGTGTATGGCACACAAGTGCCCAATTAATGCTAGACATGCTGCCTCCACTCCATCCCCATAAAAAAAATTTAATGTCTTAACAGAAGAAACACAACTGGTGTTCATATGCATTTTTCTTATATATTCAATATTTTGTGGACTTATGTGGTTAAATGTACACCATACCTGATATCAATCTTTTGATGCTTTCTAGTTGTGCTGTCAATAGTAACTCTTCACACTTCAAGATTTCAAACTGTACTTCATATAACTGAAGTTGCAGATCATAATAATCAGCTTCTAATTGATCTAATCGGGCTATTGCTTCTGTACCACCCTGCAAACTCTGCATCTGCATTAAAAACAAAAATATTTCTAGTTAGTGGGGACAGGAAACAAACTAAAGTTATGGTTAGAAATTATTACTAATCAGATAGGGTAAATCCACGAAGCAACTGCTTCCAGAAAGAAACCTGTAAACAAGAAACCTAGACTTTTAAAAAAATCTATATATAAAAAAACGGTAATAACCAAGTGATATTATATGGTTATCCAAGTAAGTAGGTAAACATGGTAAAAACAAGGTTTTTAATGTTTATGTTATACTCATTTATATTTATTTCATTCTCTAAAGTCAATGCTGAGTTACACAATTACTCTCTTCATATGAGATACATGAAAATGACTGGGACACTCAGATATTTACAACAGAATGGTAAAAACCAACTGATTCCACACATCAGGGCTTTGCTTAGTTCACAGCCTAGCTAGCTTCTGGGATCTGTTGGCTGAAGAGTGAGGTAGGTGCGTGTGAGCGGAACAGCAAAACAGAATTGCTTTAGAGGGAAATCCTTGCAATCTATGGGAAATGATCACCATTATTCTAGGTAAATGCAGTCAGGATTCTAAACTGAACCCAAAGGATTCAGAAATTGCTGGGCATGGCTCATAAAGCGGTAGATGGCCTTACATGAGGTTTGTTTGGTTGGCCAGTTTTTGGCCCTGAAGACAGAGGGAACATTTTTGCCAGGAATCTGAAGGAAACTATTAGAGTAGAACATGTGCTTCAGAAACTGGTTCCTACACTACTATTTCTATGGATTCCTATTTGGTTCTTTGGAGAAAGGCAGCTGCAAGAAGCAAAGAAATGGCTTCTGAGGAGTCAGTGAAATGTGCTGGGACATCTGGCAGTCCTTGGGCAGTCCACAGAGGCAAAGACGGTGAATTCTTATTGCTCTGAATGATCCCTTCTGTCTGGTGAAATTGATGACACATGTTAGCATAAAGAGTATTTTTGGTTTTGGTTTTGAATTGGGGTCTCACTGTCACAGAGGATGGAATATAGCGGTCTGATCACAGTTCACCACAGCCTAGACCTACTGGGTTTAGGTTGTAGAATACTACCAAGCCTGGCTAATTTTTTTGACAAGGTCTCGCTATGTTGCCTAGGCTGCTCTTGAACTCCTGGGCTCAAGCAATCCTCCCATCTTGGCCTCCCAAAGTGTTGGGATTATAGGCATGAGCTACTGTGCCTGACCTAGAGTACGTTTTATTCAAGATTCCAGCTTTTGCTTTACAGTGCAGTATCTACACAGTTTGATCCAATGACCAGAGTATGTTTTTCTTAATGCATACTATCAAATCCCTTTAATAAGAATTTTGAACTGAAAAGCAATGTCTAGGCTCTGGTATAAGTGTATGGTGATGTCTATATACTTTTAAAAAATGAGATGAATTAAATAAAGTGACAGTTAATATAGTTTATAAATCAACATAATTATCTAAGTTGTAAGCCTGTGAGTGCTCTTGCTGCACTAAGAAATATTTTAAGAGCGACAAACAATACATATAACAATGCCAGGTTGGGCATGGTGGCTCACGCTTATAATTCCAGCACTTTGGGACATGGAGGCTAGAGGACTGCCTGAGCTCAGGGCAACTTAGCGAGACCTCATCTCCACAATAAATAAAAAAGTTAGCCAGATGTGGTGTGCGTGCCTGTGGTTCCAGCTACTTGAAGGCTGAGGTGGAAGGATCACCTGAGCCTAGCAGGTTATGGCTGTGGTGGCTGTGAGTGTGCCACTGTATTCCAGCCTGGGTGACACAGCGAGCCTGACTCAAAAAACAAACACACAAACAAAAAAACCAAAACACCACCATCACCAAAATGGTTTTAATTAAAGTGGCTAGGGAAGGGAATGCTGACAATATGAAATCCTGCTGTTTGTCCTAAGTCCTAAAATCAGAACCTAGAAATGTCTGCCCATAGATTCTCAGACTCACTTTAAATTATAAACATTCCTTTTCATCCCATCCTGGGGATCTTGCCCAGTTCTGGAGAACACAGCCCCAAGATGTGGCTTCTGTTACCTGCATCTACACTGTTGCCACAGGATACAAATAGGTAAAATACCTAATGTTAGACAGTTTTCTTCAAATGGGAATTTGCCACGTTAAAACCTTCATGTAAACCAATCTAAAAACCTTAATCAAACATCACCTTCTAGTGACACACTGTTCAGGCCCAGGCAGTTATTTCCACTGTCACTACTCTGGTTCTCTCTAGCTATGGGTGTCATTTACCTGCTATGTTCATGATGTGCTAAGTTCTTCCTAGCACTCGCCAAGTTTGTCCCCCTAACCAATCTTTTAGTTAAGGAAGAAGGTTAAAAGCCAGCCCCCTGGTGACGTGCCTTTACATGGTGAGCCACCTGAACTGCAAGTAGAACAGTATTCTGACCTGCCAGGGTCAATGTACCTTAACACTTGAGAAGCACAGTGCTACCAAGATACAGTCAATATCAAATACCAAACTGAGAAAGGAAGTGGGTATACTCTTACAAGCAGTGACCTCACCCCCAATTTTCTGGTTCAGTGAGTTCTATCTAGAGCAAGAGTCCAGAGGTGGATTTGCCAAGGGCTAGATTCTAAATAAGAACAAAACCTCGCCAGAAAGATGGGCAGAGAAGGAGTCTGTTAAATCTCCACCCCTGAAAGAGCAAACAAAATGACAGTGGTGGGTTTTGGGAAAAGCTAAAGGGGTGTACGAGCACAGTAGATAGGGCTTTTATGGGACAAGAAAAGGAGACTCTTTAATATGAGTAAAAGAAACCCGTGAGGAAAAAACAGCACCCTGAAGTCTATCTCACCTTCAACATGGAGGCAAATTCCTTAGTATAATTCATGAAGAGTTATGGAGTGGGCACCCTGCTCCTAATCTCTCCCTGCTAACATCTGAAATTTCCAAAATGATTTTCCTGTCTTTAGCAGATAGTAACAGACCTTAGGAAAAAGGAATCCAGAGTGGAAGGAAGATTAATTCCAGATAATGGAGCAGTATAGAGAAGGTGGGTGCCATAAGAGTGGTGGCTGCTAACACTCAAGGGAAATGTTTCCCTGGGCAAGAAGGAAGCTCAGAAGTTTTAAGCACTTAATTAAAAATTTGGCTACCTTAATAGTTTACTCAGCTCAATGTTCACACTCCTAGAAAAATATGCTTTAGCTATCAAGATATCTGTGCCTGAAACCAAACTGTGGCTTCCCAATGTGACCCAGGTAATGAAGACCAAGACTTGAGGCCCATACAAAATACCACATCACCTTTTCAATAGCATCCTTGGGTAAATCCTGAAACGCTGGTTAAGGCAAGTAAACATCTGAAGCACGGGAAATTATGAAATCACAAGACCCCTAGAAAATATGTGTAAGTTACATTTCAAAAAAAGTAAAGGAATTCAGTCAGGGTTTCCTAAGGAATAAGTCTGCAGAACCGGGATCTATAGAGTTGCTCTCTTCAATATGGTAGCCAATAGCCACTTGTGACTATTTACATGTAATTTTAAATACTGCTTCTCTGTTGCATAAGCCTCATTTCAAATGCTTATTAGCCACATACGGCTAGAAACAACCCTACTAAAGACTGCAAATACTCAACATTTCTCTTAATTGCAGGGTGTTCTGTGGGACAATGCTGTTTTAGACCCTATGCTCATATCCACCATGGCATACAATCAATGCTCAATAAATACTTGATGAATTAACATAAAATTGAAATAGGGAAACATAACCTTAATAAAAGCAATATGCTTTTAGGAGAAAGATGAAAATAAGTAGCTAACTTCAAGACTGGTATATACTCAGCTCAATATTCTAGTAGTTTATATACCTTTATGTTTTAAAATTTTATTGTTATTTTAAAAATAAAAACAGGGTCTTGCTATGTTGCCAAGGCTGGTCTCGAACTTCTGGGCTCAAGTGATCCTCCCAATGTGCTGGGATTACAGGCGTGAGCCACCATGCCTGGCCTTTATTTTTACTTTGTAAAAAAATAGTGTATCTTGACAGAAATGATCAAGGAACTACAAGTGGATAGGGAATGGTTAAAATCATCCACCAAGGAAAGAAAGCTCACGGATATACTTTTTAAAATCTTTCAACCACAAGGGCTGGAAACCAAATGTTTTTTTTTGGGGGGGGTTAATCCCTAGTTAACCAGAAAACACAAGCCTACCATTTAACCGAAATGCTTTCTATGATGTATTTCATGATGACATCTTAATTTTACTACCTTCTATTTCAATTAATAACTATACAGAAAATCTCATTTCAGTATCAACCCTTATTTCAGTAACACTTCTAGCACATATTCTACTCCTAATCCTGTGTGATTATATGTATTTTAATCTTGTCCAATGGTTTCAAATGGGGGGGGAAACCATATCTGATATAACCTAGATTAATAATATAGATCCGAAAGTAAATATTTACTTGCATAGTCAGATTATTCTATTATTTCCAACCTGGATAGACGAAGTATACTACTGAAAGAGCACAATAAAATTATTAAACTCACTACAACTACAACTATGCTACAACTAATTAAATTCACAGGATCCTTTCAAAGGTATTTGGCTTCAAAGTTTTGATGGAAAACCTGGACATTACAGGCCAGTCTGAAGTAATAAGCTTGGATACAGATGATGTGGGTGTTTTTTTATTTTGTCATATCAAGAAAAACTTTGCTTTAAAAAAAACCTTAGCCAGGCGCCAGGGGTTCACGCCTATAATCCCAGCACTTTGGGAGGCAGAGACAAGAGGATTGCCTGAGTCCAGGGGTTTGAGACCAACCTGGGCAACTTGGCAAGATCTCACCTTTACAATAAATAAAAAAAATTAACCAGGCGTGGTGATGTGTGCCTGTAGTTTCAGTTACTTGGAAAGCTGAAGAGGAAGGATCACCTGAGCCCAGCAGATTGAGGCTATGATGGCCATGAACAGTCACTGCACTCCAGACTGGGTGACAGAGTCAGACTCTGTAACTCAAAATAAATAAATAAAATTAAATTAAAATAAACCTTAAGGGACTGGGTGCTGTGGCTCATGACTGTAAATTCAGCACTTTGGGATTCCAAGACCAGCCTAGGTGACATAGTGAGTCCTGGTCTCCACAAAAAACTGAAAGAAAAAAAAACAGCTGGGCATCGTGGCATGCACCCGTGGTCCCGGCTACTTGGGAGGCTGAGGCAGGACTGCTTGAGACCAGAAGTTCAAGGCTGTGGTAAGCCATGATCCTGCCACTGCACTCCAGTCTGGGCAAGAGAGTGAGACTCCAACTCAAAAAATAAATAAATAAAATAAAATAACTTAAAGGGACCAGGCACAGTGGCCTGTAAGCCCAGTAGTTTAAGAGGGTGAGGCAGGAGGATTGCTTGAGGCCAGGAATTCAAGGTTAGCCTGGGCAACATAGTGAGACCTTGCCTCCACGAAAAAAAAAAAAAAAATTAGCCGGGCATGGTATGGTGAACTTGTAGTCCCAGGTATTCAAGAGGCTGAGGTGAGACAATCACTTGACCCAAGGGTTCAAGGTTATAGTGAACTAAGATCCCAGTACTGCACTCCAGCCTGGGTGACAGAGTGACACCCTGTCTCTAAAATAAATATATAAATAAAAATAAAATAACCCAAGGGGATAAAACATATCAACTTTTTTTTAAAGAATAAAATCTCTAATTTAAATTATGGGGTAACACTATATTGTGAAACCTTTGCTGGCAAAGTATTGTTTGGGATGAACTTAATACTCTGCATTTGTTCTACTTCTCATGAGTCATTTGGGTCCCTTAAACTAATGCTAATAAACTGGTGCAGTACATCATCACAGACACATATAAAAAGCACAATACCTATATTATAAACTCAACAAACACAGCCTGGCAAGAATGACTAACTGGCAGTTTTAACAAATCCTGTGAAGAATTCAAACACAATACAAAACATTAAAAACAAACTATTACAGTCATGGGATGGCCCAGGGAAATGACTCCCAGGTAATAATCTCAAGTTCTTAGGGCCCACTGTAGCCTCTTCCTTCCTCTTCCACCCTAGACCAATTCCAGAGAAAGCAATGCTCCCGCAGTAGTGAGCAGTCGGAATCTTCACCTTCCGTAGCAATCTTAAGTACCCTATATTGCTAGAACAACTCAGTGTCAGCCAGGTTAGAACAAAGCTAGTCATATGATGAAGACAAAGGTGGGACTGTACTTCACAGGCAGTAAGAGGGATTTTAAATTTAAACGTTCCATAATTTTAAAAAATTTGAGACGGTAACATGAGGGAGCAAGAAAAGGAGACTGAGGATGAAATGCCTCAGGAGAACATGAAATGGGCTGAAATCCTTGCACAGTGATTCTGAAAAGGAAGTGTAAACAATTTCCAAGATAAGCCAGTTTTACTTTCTAACAGTAGCAAATAAAATGTAAAGGAAAAATAAAATCATGATTAAAAACCCATTAACAAAAAGATTTCTTTCTAGATCACAGGTCTGATACTTTATAGGTTACCTTTATTTTTTAAACAAGACTAGATAAGCATAAGTATTTTTAAAATGTCAATGAGGACCTCCTTGGTGTGTCACCTAAGCCAATTTATTTTACATAAAGCTGTATTAATATAATAAGAGTAGAAATGACAGTTTGTTCTTCTCTGGAGACTGAAATGTGCTACTTTCATATATATATATATAAATATATCTCCAATATTTTAAAGCCAATATGGACAAAACTACAAAATAGGTACTAATACTTGCAAATCATACATAAGACTTGTATCTAAAATATACAGATCTCTTACAAATCAGTAATAAAAAGATAAAAGCAAAGAATTAGTTTTGTTTGATAGGAATAAAATGGGAAGTTCCAAAATATAATGGTTATGAGTATGATATAATCAAATCAAACAAAATAAACAAAATGCCACGGCCTTAGGATTTTAACTAATTTTCCCTGGGCAGTGACATTCTCAATAATTGCTAGAAAGCTTTAAACTTTTACAGTGTAAAAAACGTTAAGGCAACTAAGAAATTCTGCTGTTGGCCTCTTTTTGTTTCAACAGTGAGTGCTTCCTGCTGTCACACTGGGGTACTGTGAAATGGGCTATGTGTCTGACTTTTATGTGACAACTTAAGCTAGAGGTCCTATCATATGTGTTTTCATCTCATGGAGACAGCATAAAATCATGAAATCAGAAAAACATCTTGGACAAAGATAAAAATGACAAATCTTCAATTTTTTTGGATTTTATCTATTTTTCTGATGGTTTGGTTACCTCTTCTTTTAGTGCATGTTTCCTTTGTTCCAAGCAGATCTCTTTAGCTCTCATCATCTGCAAAGTCTCCTTAGAGACTGCATACTGGAGTTTTTCCATACGTTCAGCAGCTGCTGCCCATGATGCTTTACCAAATTTCTTCTGATCTGCTCGCATTCGATCATATACAGCTATTAACAGTAATTTTTTAAAAAGAGAATTAAGACAAAAAACAACTTGACACTAAAGAATCAGAAAATCTTAGATTTCACTGACCACACAAAGAAATACAAATCCTACCCCCATGATAAACTGCCTATAGCAGCACTAAAATATAATGTAACAGTCTTGTAGACTCTCTCTAACGTCTACAATTCATCCTTAGAAAAACATTCTGCAAATGAAACTTGTCAGATTTTTCTTTCAACTTTAAAATAAATACTTTCATAGCTGGGCACGGTGGTTCACACCTACAATCCTAGCACTTTGGAGGCTGAGAAGAGAGTTGTTTGAGCCCAGGAGTTTGAGACCAGCCTAGGCAACATAGTGAGACCTTGTCTCCACAAAAAAAAAGAAAAAAAAAATTCTTTCACATGTTAATAAACTTTCAAAGATTCTATGAAAACATTAATTCTGTGAGGTTTTATGCTCTCCTCCTTGGTATGTTAGTTCAAACCAGGGCCATAACTATTCAAAATTATTTAAATTCATATTTTAAGTTTTATCATTCTGTGTCTTATAACTTGATGTATAGAGAAATAAGTCCTAGATGTTAGCATGAAACTCAAGTAGGCAATTTGATTAGTGCCAAATGTAATCTGTAAGTTGGGACATATTCACTGACAGTGTCTTTTATATGTTCAGAATTAAGTGATAAGTAATTTTGTGCTTCTACTACATCCTAACCATTTTTTTAAAAAGAAGTATAGTTCAGTGACCTTTGTCTAATTGCTTTTTCACAATGACATAAGTATTACTTTGAAACTGTACAGACAGGCAGTTTCTTATGCTCAACTCTCTCATACTTCTAGTGCCAATGCCCAAATATAACTAATTCTTCACTCCGTCTGGTGGTTACCCCCATCAGGAATATTGCTATTTCCTGATTTACAGTCTTCTCCTATAACGGTGAGGAATTTGTTTACTGAAAATCTCTACTCCCAGCACAGTTACTTCCTTTGTTTTCCCTAGGAGCTTTATTATGCAGTCTTCTCCTCTAACTGCTGGGATTATGAGTGATTTTTATGTACTTTCTTGTGTAATTATTCTGAACATAAAATACTTAACCATTCATTTTCAAAACTATCTAACAAGGGTAATTTTACTAGAAAACTTACCTTTTTGAGCTTTAGCTGTTATTTCAAAATATTTGACAGTAAGATCTTGAATAGATAGTACAGCCATATGAGCCTTTCGCTGCCAATCAGCATCTTCTTTTTGTAGACTCTCAATTCTTCGGGGTCCCAGATAATCATTCTCCATGGAAATCTTTAGAAAGAAAAAGAAAAAATTAAGAAGTTCATTTCTTTTATTCATCCTTAAACTTTTTTTTTTTTTTGAGTCAGTCTTACTCTGTTGCCCAGGCTGCAGTATAGTGGTAAGCTCATGGCCACCGCAGCCTTGACCTGCTAGGCTCAGGTGATCCTTCTGTCTGAGTCTTCCAAGTGGCTAGAACTACAGGCACACACTACCACACCTGGCTAATTTTATGATTTATTATAGAGACGAGGTCTCGCCATGTTGCTCAGGCTGGTCTCGAACCCCTGAGTTCAGGTAATGCTTTGGCCTCCGTCTCCCAATGTGCTGGGATGACAGATATGAGCCACTGCGTCTGGCCATCCTTAAACTTTTTTTTTTTTTTTTTTGAGTTGGAGTCTCACTATCACCCAGGATGGAGAGTAGTGGCACACTCATGGCCACCGCAGCCTTGACCTGCTGGGCTCAGGCAATCCTTCCACCTCAGTCTTCCAAGTAACTGGAACCACAAGCACGTGCCACCATCCCCAGCTAATTTTTTGATTTATTGGAGATGAGGTCTTGCCAAGTTGTCCAGGCTGGTCTCAAACCTGTGGGCTCAGGCAATCCTCTCACCTCAGCCTCCCAAAGTGCTGGGATTATAGGCATGGGCCACTATGTCTGGTTCACCCTTGAACTTTTAATGAAAGTTTATATGCCAGATATTGTGTCTGCTGCTAAGACAAAGAATACTTGTTTTTCTCTACTCTAGAGGAGAAGCTGTTATTAATTTACAAAACAAGTGAATTAACAATGATACTGAAGATATCTGACAAATAAGGTTCCCATTTCTCCCCCTCTACTTTCTTCCATCATTCTCCCCTTGCACAGATAAGTAGAGTGATATGATATATACCAAAATGCTAAGACTGATTATTTTGGGGTCTTTGGATAATGAAGAATTTATTTCCACCTCTATGATAACTAATTGTTTTATGTTAAGACTTATTTGTGCCAAAAAATTTTTACTTAAATCATATGTTTAACTACCAATAAACAAATAAAATAACTGAAAACTCAGATTTTAAGACTGATAATATATAAAAATCAGTCCATGTGCATATTGAAGATTCTGAACAAAAAACCAGAAAAAAACTAGTCATGTATTGCTTACAAGAATCACAAATGAAACCAAGAGATAAAGGAAAGCTGAAAATAAAATGATAGGTAGAATGGACCAGGTGAATGCTAAAACAAAATTCAAAGTGATAATATAACTATATTTCAAAACACTATATAGGTATTTTTTAACATGGAAGAAAGATACAATTCAACAACAGCAATGGACCATTTGCACACACAATCCTGCTTTACCATACATAAAGAAAAGACTATCAGAGTAACATTATTGGGGGGGGAGAAGGGCCAGGCGCAGTGGCTCACACCTATAATCCCAGCACTTTGGGAGGCCGAGGTGAGAGGATTGCCTGAGCCCACAGGTTCGAGACCAGCCTAGGCAACTTGGCGAGACCTCATCTCTACAATAAATCAAAAATTAGATGGGCTTGGTAGCTGGGTGTGGTAGCGTATGCCTCTAGTTCTGGCTACTTGGAAGGTTGAGGTAGAAGGATCACTGGAGCCCAGCAGGTCAATGCTGGGGTGGCTTTGAGTATGCTACTGCACTCCAGCCTGGGTGACAGAGTGAAACTCCAACTCAAAAACAAACTAAAACAGGTGGAAGGATCACCTGAGCCCAACAGGTTGAGGCTGCAGTGACCAGGAGCATGCCATGACCCTCCAGCCTGGGTAACAGAGTGAGACTCCAACTCAAAAACAAATAAGCAAGCAAAAAAACAGGTAAAATGCTAACCCACCCATGACATGTTAAAAAAAAACACTGACCAGCTGGGTATGGCAGCTCACAACTGTAATTCCAGCATTTTAGGAGGCAGAGATGAGAGAATTGCCTTAGTCCAGAGGCTTGAGAACATCCTGGGCAACTTGGCAGACCTCAAAATCAATAAATAAATCAAAAGATTAGCTGGGCATAGTGGCGCATGCCTACAGATCCAGCTACTAGGAAGGTTGAAGTGCAAGGTCAAGGTTGTGGTAGCCACAAGTGTGCCACTGCACTCAAGTCTGGGCAACAGAGTGAGACTCTGACTCACAAAAACAAAAGAAAACAAAACAAAAATCAAAATCAAACAAACAAAAAAACACTGACCGAGTATCATTAAGCCACTAAAAATGTGATAAATTTAGAAAGTAGAACTAATACAAGCCATAGTCTCTAGACAATGCAGAGAATTAAAAGAACAGTCTAAAATAAAATTTTAATCACCAGAAATTTAACACCCTTAAGCCAGAAGAAACTTAGCATTAAGTTTTCATTCTGAAGCAACAATATACTGCTCCTTAGGCAAAGAGTTTTCTCAAATAGCAAACAAAATAGCAGATTTTATTTTTTATTTCTGAGTCGGAATCTCATTCTGTCACCCAGGCTGGAGTGAAGTGGCATGCTCACGGCCACCGCAGCCTCGACCTGCTGGGTTTAGGCAATCCTTCCATTTCAGCCTTTCAAGTAGCTGGAACTACAAGTGCACCACCACACTCGGTTAATTTTTTTATTTATTGTAGAGACAAGGTCATGCCAAGTTGCCCAGGCTGGTCTTGAACCCCTGAGCTCCGGCAATCCTCTTGCCTCCACCTACCCAAGTGCTGGGATTACAGGTGTGAGCCACTGTGCCTGACAAGCAGCAGATTTTAAAGGGGGAGAAGACTAAGGATTTTGTGTTGTATGTCTTAAAGTTGAACTTTGCAAAGGCTACAATCAGAGATAAAAGTGCAGTATTGCTGACACACACAAGACATTTTAAAGCCATGAAAGTCAATGAGGTTGCCTAAGGAAGTCAAGAGAAAAAGGCTCATGACTGAGCCCTGAGGAGTTGCAGCACTCTGAAGTCTGGTGAGGAACAGCCTACAGAAACCAAACCAGAGATAGGGTGTCAAGATTTGAAGAACTTACCCTTGTCACACACTGTCTCGAGGTGGAGTAGAAGGACTAGTATCCAGGGAACTAACAGCTTGAAAACCACTGCACTCAGTAGCACCAGTTGTGGAGTAAAACAGGCAGACTCCCATTCCATCTTCAGATCTCAGCACCATTGTTGGTGTGTGGCAGCCTTCCCTGTATTCTCCATTAAACAGTTTTCAGGGCAACACCTGTATGTTTCCTTCATACCATAATCATACTGTATATTATTTTTTTGAACTTGTAAATACTGACTGTTTCCCCTTCTTAGAGAAGAGGTTGCATTGGCTTTGCAGTTTCCCACTAGCCTAACATGAACCAGACTATCTAAAATATTTCTTGAGTGATTGAAATAAATTTTAAAAATCAATTTATTTTTAATGAGAGATGAGAAACATAGATATGCATAAATATTTTTCTTAGAAATAATTATAAGAGTTGGAAAAGAGGAGGGAAAAGGGCAGAACTTGGAGGAGTTATGAACGCGTACAGGTGGGCCTTTTGCTTTTTGTCATACCATAATGGGAGATCACAGAACAGGGTGGATGTTGGTAAGTATCCAGCAGAGGGAGCTGGGCAAGGTGGCATGCACCTGTAATCTCAACTATTTAGGAGGCTGAGGTGGGAGGATTGCTTGAATCTAGAAGTTGGAGGCTGCAGTGAACTATGACTGTACCACTGCATTCTAGCCAGGGCAACACAGGTAGACTGCACCTCTTAAAAAACAAACAACAAAAAAACTATTTAGCAGAGGGAGAACCTAAAGAAGCAAGAAGCAAGGCACAGTGGCTCACACTTGTAATTTCAGCACTTTGAGAAGTAGAGGCGAGAGGACTGTCTGAGCCCAGTGGTTCAAGACCAGCCTGGGCAACTTGGCGAGACCACATATCTACAATAAATCAAAAAAATTAGCCAGGTATGGTGAAGCCTGCCTGTGGTTCTAGCTTCTTGGAAAGCTGAGGCAGAAGAATTGCCTGAGCACAGCAAGTCAAGGTTGCAATAGCTGTGACTGCTATGCAATTCCAGCCCGGGCGACAAGAGTGAGACTCCAACTCAAAACAATAAATAAATAAAGATGCAAGATAGAGATGGGGCTAATTAGAGTTGAAAAGTTTCTGAGGAAAAAAAATCTTCAAAGAATATTAATCAAAGATGTTCACACTGCAATGTTGTTTGAAATTAAAGAAAAAATGGGACCGGGTGTGCTGGCTTATACCTGTAATCCCAGCACTTTGGGAGGCCAAGGCAGGTGGATCGATTGAGCCTAGGAGTTCAAGACCAGTCTAGGCAACACAGCTGGACTTCATCTCTACCAAAAAAAAAAAAAAAAAATCACCGGACACAGTAGCTCACACCTATAATCCCAGAACTTTGGGAGGTCAAGGTGAGAGGACTGCCTGAGTTCACAGGTTCAAGACCAGCCTGGGCAACTTGGTGAGACCTCACCTCTACAATAAATAAAAAAATTAGCCGGGTGTGGTGGTGTGTGCCTGTAGTTCCAGCTACTTGGAAGGCTGAGGCAGAAGGACTGCCTAAGTCGAGGAGGTCAAAGCTGCGGTGGCCATGGGCGTGCCTTACTGCACTCCAATCTGGGTGACAGAGTGAGACTCTGACTCAAAAAAACCCAACAACCCAGATATAATAAAATCATATATAATATACCCATAAAATACAATTTTAGATAATATTTAATAATGCTCATGAGGATTTTTCGCAACAGAAGAAAATTATTATGCTATAATATTAGGTGAAAACAGGTCAAAATCATAAATATAATTTCAATTACTGCAATTCCCCTTATCTGTAGGAGATACATTCCCAAACGCCCAGCAGATGCCTGAACAGATAGATGGTACAAAATCCTATAGACTATGCTTTTTCCTATACATACAAAACTACGATACAGTTTAATTTATAAATTAGGCTCCGTAAGAGACTAACAAGAACCATAAAATAGAACAATTAAATGATATACTATAATAAAAGTTATACAAATATGGTC